TGTTCACTTTAGTATTTTTTAAAGACCTTATCAAATGTGGGATCGCTTCAATAAGAAGGCTTTTATTTCTTCATAAATACTATTAAAGCATGAGTATTTCCTTAGTAACTTGTTAGTAAGACAAAATTTAGTATCTTACAATTGCCTAAGAATCAATCACTTAATAATGAGCTTAATGATTCCTCATGACTTCAGCTGGGAGATAGATGAGAATTGGCAACTAAGATCAGTGAGTTCCCAGTGTAAAACAAATAGTTTATATATCCTATTCCAACACTAGAAGGGATAAATAATGGTCTTTACCTTGGTAGGCCAAAATCAAGCAATCTAGCCCTTTCCTCAATTTTATATTTGTTTGTTTAAAAAAAAAAAAAAACACTTCATGACCACTCCAATTATTCCCTAGGATGCATCATGGTAGAAAATATTTCTTATAGTAGTAGTTAACACAGAAAATCATCATGGAATCAAATGTGGATTTTGCTAAGTACGAACTGTTCAGTCATGGGTCAGTTATGTGACCTCTGTGGATGTCAGCCTTTTAATTAAGATGTGGAAATAAAAATATTCTTTAGAAGACTTCTTGTAGGGGTAACAACAGTGAATGACATGCATAGGTTTACATTATTAGAAGACTGAGACGGCAGCTAGGAAGGTAGTAAAACCATCATCACATGTCTAGTCCTGTGTTATTTGGAGCTGTTTTATTGAAGGTACACTCAACACAATTATGAAGAAAGCCTGAATGCTACGTCTTTGTATAAATGGGTTACTGTGTTCCCTTCTGCTGTGACAGAGAAATTTTTCTTCAATATTCTTCTGTATATTTAATTTGAAAAAAAGGTTAAGTCAGATATATGGTCTTGAAATCTGGCCAGGAGTCCCATGCAGACAGGTCCTAAGACAGCTATGAATGTAGCTGAAAGCAGCTATCATAAACTTGCCCAAAATGTCATGAGGTTTATAACTCTTTTAATAACTCAATTTTGTTGTCCTTGAACGTGAACTTTGTAGATGGCACTGTGGTTTTGCAGTTCAAAAGATTGTACATGCCTAACGGAGTGATTCCCACTTGGTCAGTTGAATAAAATTTCATTGATATATATTTTCCAACTCATCTCCTTAAAAAAAAAAAAAAAATGGGTTTCTCTGTGTAACAGCTCTGGCTGTCCTGAAATTCATTTTACAGACCAGGATGGCCTTGAACTCACTGAGATCTTCCTGCTTCTGCCTTCCAAGTGCTGAGAATGAAAGTGTGTACACAACTACCATCCCGATCTTTTCTTTCTTTTTATTAAACTTTCTTTTCTTTCTCTATGTTTTTCCTTAGACACAGTCTCACTAACTGATAATGCTGCTTGGCTGTCCTAGAACTCATTATGTGGATCAGTCATTATGTGGAAAGTCATAGAGATCCATCTACTTTTGCCTCTCAAGTACTGGGACTAGAGGTGTTTGCGGCCACACCCACCCTCTTTTCCATTATCTTTGATCAGAAGAAATGGGATAATACTAAAAGAATGTTACAAAATTTGACACATACCAAGCCCATTACAAGCAAAGCCTGCGAAGCCTGACAGATTTCCATTTGCTTGGGGATTTTTCTTTTCTTTTCTTTTTTTTTTTCTTTTACTTTTGTGTGTGTATTATAAACCTAGAGATGGGGTTCTAAAATCTCTTCTAAGTCTTTTTTTTAAAGTTCCATGTTTTGAAATTAGGGCAGCATTCAACCAACAAAAATAAAATTTCCTAAGAAAAGCAGACTAGGAGATTCTCAGTCACCTCTGTTAGACTTCTGAGAAAACAAACAGTAAAGCTATCCTATTCCTGCTTTGTGCCTTTTGGTATTTAGAAGGATGAAAAAGTGACTCCAATGAGGCCAAAAACCCACACTCAACCCTGCAAGTGTGGTGCTTAATTTTTCAGGATGTAAGTCAGCGAGACCTCTCAGCATGTGTATGAAGTATAATCCTAACTATAAAATACAATTTTTTTTTTCCTGTCAAAGAGGTGGGAGATACTCCTAAGGCCAGCTCACCGTCTTGGCAGCCAAGGCAGGGAATCTTTCTGAAAGCTGCTAAGTCACACACCCAGACACAACTCCTGACATTCCTAGGGGAGGAAGCAGAGCTTAATTTAGATAATCCCCACTGGAAAGTGTATTGGCTGATTCAAACCAGACCTGGCCTACTCAGGAATGTTGTTCTTACATTTCAGAGATGCCTCCTTGGAGAAATGGGTTCTTGTTGTATCTGGGGGATTAAGATTCACATAAAGAATAGGTGGGTTATGATCAATTAACTATTTATAAAAATGTAAACATTTGATTTTGACCTCCTCTATGCTGACTTGGGAGGACACTGTCTTTGTTGTTTTAGATGGTGCTTGGCTGGTTGCCTCTCATTCCACTGATCATAGGAAAATAAACAATAACAATAAATAGAATAGGGAAATATGCTATGTATCACGAAAGGATATTTTTTGTTTGTCTGAAGAAAATCACATGTTAAAAATGGCACAGACAAGGATACTCGTGACCTAAGAGGAGCTGTTTGGCCCACCCTCCATTGCATTGCATGAACTGGACCCTTCAACAGCAAGATGGACAGATAGCTATGAGAACACAGCCATGTTGGGAGCTGAGTCTACTAGCAGAATGCCCTCTAGGACCACATCTGAGGTAATATCAACTTTGGCAGTTTCAGAGTAAAAAAAGAAACAAGTGTCAAATAGTGGTTCAAGATACGTGGAAATTTTTGTCATTATGAATGTAAAAATGTATTTCAAATTAAAGATATCTAAGAGACTTAACTCTTCTCAAAATGCCTATATTACTAGAAAAAAAAAGGAAATGCTATGAAACTGAAAACTATCATCAACAGTAAATGATATAAGTTATATATAGATGAAAACCTGACTTTTCTATAGAAATTAAAATTCTGTTAGCAGAAAAGAGTCAGGCATTTCAGGAATTGGATTTCCTGGTCTACATGAAGTCCTGTACACTTGAGCCAGTTTAGAGTTCATTAAAAAGCTTTAATAGTAAAGCTGAGTCAGCTTCACTATTAAAAACAGAGGTAGTTTACCTGTGGAGTATAATCCCAGCCACAAAAGTTACCACCTTCTTCTGCAAAAGGCAGGCAACACTCCTGAGGGCCAGCTCCAACACTCATCAGTGAAAGCCCCTATCATACTAACATGGGGGTGGGATGCAAAGCTTAGGTTACTTCGGTAGAAAAGCATCTGTTAGAAAATTACCTGAATTTAGGAGTGGAGAAAGTTTGAGTTTATATACTCAATTTATTTCTCTAAAACTACTCTGGGAACAAAAAGGAAAGGTCACTTTTAGGGGTCTGGAGTCAGCTTCATGCCACAGAAGCCACCATCAGCCAATGCTTCTTCTAGAGTACACTCTATTGAGATGGACTTATTATTGGGATTTTCCTGATAGTTTAAAAACAATTTTACTGAAGTTTACATTTAAAAACTGGGGGAAAAAAATCAATCGAAAATAGCTAAGTAAGTAAGTTTGACCCATAGTACTCATTATCGGAGTGAACAGGAGACTGGTAAGTGTGCTTGGGAGAAATCACTGGTGAAAGGAATATACTCTCAGTCCTCTAGTTTAACTTAGAAAAGACAGGAAGTGGCAGGCTTCTACAGATAACATGTATTTGTTCCCTCCATGCATATTAGTAACTGTCTTATTGCTGTAACAGCATAGCTGGCAAAAGTTATTTTGGAAGGGTTATTTTGGCTCATGGTTTGATGGCATGGGCCAACATGACAGGGTCTAGTATTGGGTCACAGTCAAGAGCCAGAGACGGGTGAATGATGGGATGAGCTGGCTTCCTCCTTTTTATTTAATAGGGAACCATAATACATGCTATGGGATGCTGCTGCCCACATTCAGGGTCCATCTTCCTTTAAATTTCTCTGGAAACTTCCTCACAGATATCCCAAAGATGTTTCCTCTCGATGATTCTAAATCCTTCAAGTTGAGAATGAAAATAAATCATCACTCCCAATCCCCAGGCTCAGCCTGCTTCTCCTGGCCAGTTCACCCAGAGCTACAATAGAACTAGCTCTACCTCTTTGCTCTTTGTAACAAGCACATGGCTAGCATCCTTGAGTCACTATGGAATAAATTAATTTAAGTTAACGGATCACAAAATTTTAATTAGTCAAGTGCCACCTAATATGATACATCTTCATTACTATCTTACTTCACTTGTTTCTATAATGAATTTTCATTTTCATTTCCCATTTCTGATAGAGGTTTTTTACCACCTGTTTATTATCTGTATAGTTATTGGCTTGCAAGATACATATATATTGTATGCGCCAAAATCAATGAATCAATCTTACGCAAAAAAAAAAAAAAAAAGTATTGTTACATAGTACTTAGCAAAATACCTAGCCCTCTCTGTGGGTTGGGACTGAGTGACAACAACTCAAGAGAGCCTCTGCCCTTTTCTCTAGGGTCACAAATTTCATGTGGCTGAAGAGATGTCAATCTGTTTGCCAAAGTGTCACATCATTTTTGCATATGTGGTATTATTTGAATAATTGCTCATTGCCACAACTAATGACCAAGCATCCCAAGAATTGAAGCACGACATGGGCCTCCTGGTCAACACATTGGTTGCATTTATGTCTCTTCTCGTAACTTTGTTTTTGTTTTGTTTTGTTTTGGTTGTTTGGTTTTTGGGTTTTTTTTTTTGTTTTGTGTTTTGTTTTGTTTTTTTCAAAGCAAAGTTTCTCTGTGGCTGTGGAAGCTGTCCTTGAATTAGCTCTTGTAGACCAGGCTGGCCTCAAACTCACAGAGATCCTCCTGCCTCTACCTCCCGAGTGCTGGGATTAAAGGCATGTGCCACCATGGTCCAGCCATGGATGGCTTTGTTCTTTAAATTACTGCAACATTAAAGTTTCAGTTTCCAGTGAGCTGGAAGATACAAAGAAGTGTACATAAAGACACTTACATGATACAAAAGCCTTACCTGTTTTTTTCATGAATCTTCAGAATTTCATTTGTTTGTTGGAGAAGTTGCTTCTCAAGCTTGTATGTTGATAATGAATTCTCCAGTAGTTGTATTTCAAGTCGAGATGTTTGATTTAGTACCTTGAAACAGATTTAAAAATCACATTTTAATCACAAAGCAAGTAATAGGAAAAAAAGTGAGCATTATGAACATCATTTTTGTTCTTAGTTTTCTTCAAAAGGGCTTAAACATGTGGTATCCAATTGTAAATTGTGATTAAATTGGAGGTGAACTAAGTTCATTTGCATACTCCAATTTTTATACTTTTACATCCTGGCATATTATATTGTGCTCATTTCATACATTCTATCTCCAACATTAATAAGTGCAAAATAGATTATTAATACAAGTTCTTAATAGTCCAGGTCATTTAGAATAACCAAGGCATGTGTAAAATATACCTAATGAGACTTAACACCTTACTAAATAAATCCAACTGGAAACCCTAACAACTCTTAAAATAACTGACCATACAGGCAGAGAGTTCTCCCAAGAAAACTTCCGTATATTATGTCACTTAATTGACAATATCACCTGTTGGTCATGTCACTTTATGAATGAGGACACTGGAATCCAGAGTAGTCCATGTTCACACAGGAACCAAGTCAAGATCTCAGTTTTTAACCAGAGACTTTAATTGAGTCTACATAATAAAATGAATCTGAAAAGATATTTTTTGCAATATCAGTATCAGGTAGGTCCTGCTCTAAAAATGCCATCACTGGGGCACTCTTCCTCCACTGAGGCAGAGTTAAAGCTGGGATTTTTCTGAACCTTTTGAAGGTGGACTACAGTGTTTGAGTTGAGCTACAGCTGCAAGGAAATGGGGCTCTGTGTTTGTAATAGTAGGACAGAGACTAGGGACTAGGACAGACGGGAAAGGTAACTGCCTTGAATGCAAACTGTAAAGAAGGGCTCCTTCTAACCTTGGCAACCAAGTTTAAGTACACAAGTACACATTATTTTTTTAACTCTAACACATTCCATACACATTAGATGAGATTATTATTGTTATTAAATCTTGGAGTGGCTTCAAGTCTATATCCATGAAAACTTAATATATAAATGAATCATAGCAAGTTAAGGATTTTAAAACATAAAACATAGCAAGTTAAGTATTTTAAAACATAAAACATAAAAGTCTCATCTTACCATTTTTCCTCCCTCCTCATCACCTCATTCCTCACTAGGCTAGAACCAGGGCAAGGTGAGTAAAACCACATGGGCCTGGGTTCTACACTTGCAAGGACTATATTTACCTTAAAGTTACTTTTCTGCTCCATTGGGGTTTTAAAATGCATTTAAAAGATTTTAAATAATGCATTTTCCTGGACACATATGAACTCAGTGACTGTGACAGCATGCACAAGACCTGCACAAGTTCAAGGCAGACAGACAGAGTCCCAGCACAGAGGGAGAAAAGTAGGCATGACACCACACACTCGTCATATTTGATGACTGTTATGACTGTTTGGGGAGTAAGGTTTTTTTTTTTTTTTTTTTTTTTTATGACTTGAGCACTGAAGGGCAGGACCTATTCCCAAGAGTAATCATTCAACACACAAATGGTCTCAATGAGGGAAAAGGAAATAAAACTGAAAGCTATAGACTAATGTAGACTAGTGAGGGAAGCTTGAAAAGGGAATAGTTGGGTCTGGATGAATTTGATCCAAATATGCTGCATAAATTCTCAGAGCTCTAATACAAATATTATTTTAAAGATACATCCCCTACCACTGTATTGAAGGGAAAACAACTTCAAATGCAAATGGAAGAGAATGTTAAGACCATTCTTTTTTTTTTTTAACAAACAAAAAACAGGCCAGTTTTTTATTTCTTTGTTTACTGGATGATCATTTACAAATATTTGAAATGAGTAGTGAAACCTTTGGGATTTTATTAATTTGTGTGTGAGAGAGATCAAACATGCCGGCACTTGCCATGATTAATGTGTCCTCTGCTTGTCTATTGCCTCCAGTTTATGCAATCACAGAGCAATGAGTCTTCTGTAAGAAAACAAGTCAGATTGTGGCATTTCCATATTGGATATGCTAATGGCTCTCTCAGCAGGTCCTTTGCATTTCAAAGAACTTAGTGTGGTGCATGAGGCTGTGTGAGATCAGAAGCCTGCTTGCTTCTGTATCACATTCCTGCCACCCACCTGCTTCATTATGATCTAACTCCACAGTCTCCTTTCTGCTCTATTTTTCCTAATTCCCTTTCACCTCAGGGCATTTCTACCTGCACCTCTGTCTGGCTGCAATTCCCATCGCCTCCCAGATGCAGAACCAGCCTCATGGGGGTCTGTTCTGGCCAAGCCTACGAAAATATCTACCCCCACCCCCCCCCATAATCCCCATCAGTTCACTCCATTCTACATGCCTTCTAGAATCTCCATTATTGAAGACAATCCTGTCGCCTCACTCCTGTGAGGATTTTCTGCCACACTATGCTGTCAGTTACACAGGGCCCACATTGCTGTGTCCAAAGCCCTCCAGTATAAAGTCAAGATTGCTGGGGTACTCAACTATGTGTTGGATGACATGCTGACAGTGCTCAGTGGGCTGTTTCAAGCTAGATAATAATCATGGACATTAACAGCCCCACATTAGAAGTTTGACTCTTACAGCCCAATTCTAAAGATTTATCTGACATAGAAGAAGGAAGATGCCCAATCTTTGCGATCCAGGATAAGCGCTAGTCAACTCCGCCTAGTTTTAAACACAAATTCCACATCCTTCTCTTTTCCCATCATCTTGACTCATTGCTGCTTTATTTCAAGTCACCCCATTGATGTTTTCAAATAGGCTTGAAGTTCAAATCTGGGCATCCAAGGAACTGCAGAAAACTATGATAAATTGACCACTGCCTTGCATGTCTATGGAACTTGCTGCTGGCAATCACTGAAGTATTCCATTAAAATGACAAAAGACATTTCCTTCTTAGCTTAAACACATCCCAAAACACATCTCTGGGAAAAAGAGAAGTTTAAGAGGAAAGAAAAAAAAATGAAGAAAGGAAAGAGTGAAGAATATATTCAGCAAGTCCCCAAGGACTGATGTCAAAGCTTAAATTTCCCAGGGTATGCCACAGTGTACTCTCTGAAATGGAGGACTTATGTAGTTTAAAGAGTTTAGCTCTTTCTTAAAAAAATAATAAGTACTCATTTTCCAGAGAAAGTGATCTAGGGAATTTTAGACAGCCTGTTTTAATAGGTTTGAGTATCTAATTTAAAATCTACCCTAACTGAAAGGTAGTTACTGAAAGAGAACACAGCAACCACAAAAATAAATCTCTTTGTCCAGCATCTTGGCCTTGAAATAGTTCCCCCCCCCCAGGCACATGTATTTCATTTTCCTTTTCAAATAAAGCAAAGGTAACAACATGATGTTATTAGATGCTATAGGAGAATGGAGGTTGATCTATATATAAAGAATGAGAGCTATAAATTCACTGGTTGGCATTAACAGTGAAGCAAAATTTTTTGTCAATAAGGGACAATGTGATCCAGAATCACCCTATGGGTTGTTTGTTTCATAGAGGGAAGGTGATCATTTGAGATGGAGTGATGTGGCCTCTGATGTCCTGACTGCATCCAGACCATACATCCCAGAGAACGTGATGGCAGTCTATCTTTTTACCTCCCAATGAGATGCCACAGGAAGTGGTTAACAGTTCCACGGAGTAACCTATTGCTCAATTCAGCTCAGGAAATCCTTCATATATAGTTAACTTGCAGTTTATAGAAATTACAAGTTATGGAAAAATAAATCAAAATACATGGCAAATACATAATCAGGCTATCCCAGAATATGAGAGATTACCAAATGATCTTCTTAGTTTCTTAAAAATACTCTTCATTAGTGGGGAGGAGAGCAGAAAGTAAAAAATAGACCTAAGTTCAGTGAGACCATCAAACCTAGAAAACAAATTACCTGCAAAATTACTGTGGAAATTAAGGAACCTTGAAGAAATATTGTTATGCTAAGTCATGTTATAATATATTTAATACTATACAAAAATTGTGAAATACTATGTTTATGTATATAACGTGCTTATATTAACCACATATGTATTAGCATTCATGTTTATAATCATTTTTGATTATTCATGTATTGCACTGTCACATATTCTAATTATACCCTAATTATGTTAGTCTGTGCCATATTCATAATAATATAACTGAAGTTGTTTGTGGAGTTGGATAAATATGGTGCCTTTTAACAGGCACAGACATCATTGGTTGAATTATCTTGTATCAGCATTAACCATGTAGCTCTTTGAATTTAGAGTCTCCATTCTTTTAGAAGCTCATATAACTAAGAACAAACAGCTCCTCTGCCTAAGAAAAATGACCTCTTGAGCCATAACTACTGCTACCAAATGTTATTTTTTTTTTCCAGTCGTCATTGGGTCTTTAATTTGTGTCAGTCAATGACAGAATTTCTCCTTTTATATACGTATTCAATTATCAGAGTAATGCAGAAAGGGGCCAAATATCTCATGCTCTTTAGAGTATAAAGAGAATATATTGGCCTGCTTTCTTCTTCAGTCATATTTTTTTTCAGTAAGTTACTTTTCTTTAAGTCATGTTCTAGTCCATCTGCTGTTCCTGTATATACATCACTACCAACACACAGCCTTGAGTTACAATCTAAATATATTATGGATTTGATAATTTTATTACAATTCCTAATGACAGAGACTTGAAAAGAAAAAGAAACACTTTGCTTTCTACATAACATGCATGTAAAGAGTTGGTTAGACTTTTAGTACAGGGCAAGACAGTAACCATCTTATCCTGGGGAACTGTTATTATTTGGATGAGAAAGCTCCCAAAAGGTTCATGTGTTTGGACATTTGGTCTCCAGCTGGTCATGCTGTTATGGGAACTTATAGAACCTTTATGGCTTGGGGACTCAATGGAAGAAATGGGTCCCTCGGGAGTTGGCCTTATGGTTTGTAGCTTGTCCTGGTTGTAACCTCAGATCCCTCTCTCTGCTTCCCTAGCTAGTGAAATGTGAGCATTTCCAGCTAAATACTTCTGATGTGGCCTTCACCACACCCTAACTTTTGTACTCTCAAACTGTGAGCCAAACTCAATTCTTACTCCCATAAGTTGTTTCTGTTACATGTTTTGTCACATTAATGAGAAAACAAACACAATAAAACCCTGACATACAGGCCATACTGTCTTTGCTCTAACTCTGGTATAGCCTTCTGTGAGAACAGCAATGTAGCCATAGACAACACATGCATGGATAAACGTGGCTGCATTTAATATAGCTTTAGCCATGAGCCAGAGTTTTGCACCTTCTTCCAGTGGCTTATGCAAAGTAACTACCAATGCATTTCTCTTATAAGACCCTCCAGCTAATTTATTTCACCATCCACCATTTCAGCTATGTCAAAGGTTAAAAGTTTATTAAACTATGTCCTTATCAAGTTAAAGAAATACAGTTCAATTTGTAGAGCTGACCTTTGATAGTAAATGTAATAGGAAACTTATTATTGCCTAGAGAGATATGTTCATTCAACAGACTACTTAGGAACTACTTTAAATTTCTGACTGTGCTATTGTGAACCAAACAACAGTTGTCATGGTTAGTGATCTCTGAGACACAGAGGAGAAGTGGAATTAAATGCACAGGTAATTTATTAGAGCGAATGTCTATGAAGGGAAACTGGGAATAAGTGGGAGGAGCCAGAGACGGCCTTCAGATTACATGCAGGCTTTACTCCAGTGAAGAGGGGGACAGAAAGGAGCATTAGATGGAAGTCTTAGTCCTCAAGACGGCTGTAATTACATTCAAAAGGCGATGGGAAAACCTTAGCCAAAGTCATGTGTCAGCAAATTTCTCAAGCTCTTGGGAACAAGACTAAGTATCCTGCCACAGTGAGTCATTGCTTAGAAATGGCAGCTGAGAATTGTGGTCTCTGTACCAATACCTGATGGGTTTGAGAGGCCAGCAGCTGGTGGGGTCACTGGGCAATTCTACTTCCCACAGCAGCACACTAGAAAGGTATGCTTTAAATATGACAGAAAGTGAAAAGAGAATTCATCTAGAGACGTTTTACTTCACTAATTCCAAGTCACTGGACATAAGGACTGCTTTAGGTATTAGTGTAGTCTACATATCACCTACTGGGACATCTTGCATCATGGAATTATGCAAAATAGTTCTGTTCCAATGTGATTAAATTCCATGTCTAATACTATACTACTGGAGCTTATTGGAGACTGCAGTAAACGTGAGATGCCAGTCTAAAGAACTTCCCTATGGTTGACACAGCTAGCAGCTGGCAAGGGCAGCACTAGAGCTGCAGTCATGAACTCCCTGGCCCATGAGAGAATGGTCTGAGTGGATGGGCCAGCTATTCCCACCAGCAGGAGAGCACTTTTTCTGAATTAAATGTCCTTCTGTACTTGGACCCATTGATACAGTCCCAAAGTACTGCAGATCAACCAGAACCAAAGGAGAAAGATCAGCATTGGTAGAAAGATGAGCAGAGGGGTTTTGATGTCAAACTGTTTAACTTTAAACTCTCAACCTAATATTCACTGATCCTAATCAGAACCGACTCTTTAGTTTGGTTTCCTCATCTTTAGGAAAGGAATGAAAATACTACCTCTGTCTATTAGTTAATATATGTGCGAGATTGCTTAAGGCAGGGCCAAAAAGATGATTGAAAGTAGACTTAATTAGGTTTGTTGATCTGGTAGTTCCCTCTACACCAAATTTACCCAAGGAAAAAGGAAGACGATTATCCAACAGGAGGGGGGCATGAATAATACCTGATCCTAACTCCATTATGCAAAAGAGGAACTTGAAGGAGAGGAGATGCTGGCCAAGACTGATAAGAGCCAGGGGACTTCTACTGAGCTATGGGGAAAGAATAGGCTTTCTGTGGCTTGAATTTCTCATTATCACACAATGGCCAGATGTGTTTTAAAGTCGGCTCATCATACAACCCTTTTTCTGATTATAATGGTCACTGAATGTGGGGTCCTTTATGCCTTGCAACAAAACCATGGTTCTGTTATCTCCTGTGAAAGCACAAGTCCAGAAAGTCAACAGAGAACTAGTAAGCAATAAGTTGCTTATCTTTATAGCATCATCACAGGAGAGCTAGGGCACACAAATGGGGCCAAGCCATTGCTACATGACCCTCAACACACTGATGTCAGATTTGAGCAAAGCAACATATAAAAGTGTTAAGCCAAGTTAGGTGAATGTCAGTGCAAAATACAAGAACAAACCTGGACAGAGCAGAAGGCTCCTCCGGCTTGTACGTTCTTAGAAATTAATCACATATGAATACACTGAGGTTTTGGTATTCTTTTTGTAAACTTGACCCTGCATCGAGAAATGAGTGCAGTTCAGTGGTTATGTTGAAACAGAAGTGCTGTCTCAATAATTCACACATACACCTTGTGAATACACACCTGCTTAATGAAGGTTTGGAACATAAACATCAATGGCTGCAAGATATTCTAAGGAAGATAATAAGACTACAAAGGTTTCAATTTGTAAAGCAGGACATGCCCTATCTCATTGCTGCTTGTTGATAATTCTGAAGTATTTGAATTTATGTTTTTGTCCATCTGAAAAATGATCTTACTCTATCCAACAACCTTTAATTGGTCTTTATGATGAAGATTTACTGTTTCACACAGGGAGTTTTATTTTGCCTTTGACTTTCCTGTACTATCTTTTAAAAAGTATGTATCTCTCAGCCATGAGATTAAAGAATAAATTTTACTTTTAAAAACTTGCATAGCGTCAAACTTTACAGTTTGGAGAGACATAAAAATAAATAAATCTCTCTCCCTCTCTGTCTCTTTGTGTGTGCATGTATGTATGTGTGTGTATGAGTGTGTGCATGTGTGTGTATGTGTGTGTATGAGTGTGTGCATGTGTGCATGTGTGTGTATGAGTGTGTACATGTGTGTATGTGTGTGTATGAGTGTGTACGTGTGTGTGTGTGTGTGTGTGTGTGTGTGTGTGTGTGTGTGAGTGTTTGCACATGAGCATGCTGGAATCCCTTCCTTCCAATATATGAGAAAAAACTCAAGTTCTTAGCCTTGGGAAAAAGCACTTTTACCCACCAGGGTTTCAGGGTTTAAACTCACAAAACTTTGTAGCAGGTAGTAAGCTCTCTGACTAGAGAAAAATACAGCTGTATATGTCATATATGAAACTGACGTTGTATAGCTCAGAATGCTTGCTTTATGTGATAATAAATGAGTCAATACATCTTGTATTGTTTAGTTATGAGCTATAGTTCCTATTGCCTGTACTCCATGTGGATCTCATAAGGATCCACAGGAGGAAAAGAAGTATTTCCCAAAATCTGTATGATTTATTTATCCAATATGATGAACATTTGTGTTCTGATTTCGCTGGTTGATAATTAGTATCATTTATCAATGGAAAAGATATGAGGACTCCAGCCTTTGAATTCCTAATTCTATAATTACATTAGTGAGAGAGATATGTGTAACTTCCTTACCTACAGGCTTTAAGTGACTTCCACAAATGTGTTTTGTATCTAGGCAACCTGTATTTTATATTAAATGCTTTACCCATATAAATCATCTTTGTTATTTCTCTTTAAATGTTAAGCATATGATCTGCAGTGTCACTGATACAGATTAAATAAAGGAGAAATAGTCCACGATATTTGCAAGGGTATATTTACACACACAAATATTTAGCCTTGAGAAAAATCAGCTATATTTGAGCAGAGACATCCTCATCCCATGTTCAGATTTCTTTTTCAGTGGAATCACAGTAGCCACACCTGCCCACACTAAGAGATCATCTTGTCTTGCTTTAATGTGACATTTATGACAACGATAATCAAAAATCATCCCTACATTTCACTGATTTCCACTCAAATATGCAGGTATCTCTAGACTCATTCTCACTCTTGCTCAGCACACACAAGATCTTCCTTTTAATCCATTGCATACACAAGGCCATTGCAGAGGCAACTATCTCTAGAGCATTACCAGAGATAAAGCAAGACAGGTCAAAAAATGATCATCAAAGACACCAGTTAGACCCTCACAGCTATTTTGTTTGACACAAGTCATATCACAGTTGGTAGCTGCAGTGTTTATTTGAACTTCATACTGATTAGGTTTTCTTGGCTGCTCTGTTTTTACAAACACATACAAAGCTAAATATACTCATCCTCATTAATGCAAAAAAAGCATGCATAGCTTGTTATCATTGTTGTTACTACCAATAAACAAACAAAAAAAAATGTATGTTTCCCCAAGCCCCGTGCTGAAATATGCTCTGTGTTGATGGAGTAGACAAAAGGATAATTTCAGAATAACCTTCTGTTTGAGTATGTGACTCTGGGCCCTGCGGACATACCTGGGTCTCAACATCTGTCAGTTTTCGTGTCTGCTCAGCAGTCTGAGACAGGAGGCTGGTTCCTATCTCAAGCATGGTGGCCGTGTGGTTTTGAACTGCATTCTGTTGTATCTGGGCCATCTCCGACTTCATATTTTCCACAATGTAATTCTCAAGCTGCAAGAGATAAAGGACAAGGCATGCTAGATTATAAGCAAAGCCTCCCTGTTTGTGGCATGCAGTATTTACAATGACAAAACAAGACACAGCTGGCAGACCAGCCATCTGGCAGAGATCCTTTGCATGTCAGGGACTTGAGAAATAGAAGCCGAAGCTGAACACACAGCAATCCAACTGCTAACAAACCCTTGATATACAGACACATACCCATGATAATCATAAATCATAGTGAGAATTTTCACTCAGATCCCCCTCTCCTGCTGTGGACATGTCTCATTTAATCCTCACAGCAAGGACGTGAAGGAGGCAGTTGGTTGCCTTATTTTTGGTTTTATAGCTGGGGACACAGAACCGGAAAGAGCTGGTAATAAAGCCCACAGTTACCTAGCAAGAATGCAGGTAATTTAGCAAATAATTTAAAGGTAAATCTTACTGCTTTGGTCTTTTGATTATACCATGCTGACTACTGACCTCAGCATCCAGCATCCTGTTTCTATTTCCTATGATAAAAAGCAGGTTGGACTGGGGGAATGAGCCAGGGAGTAAGAGGAGGCCTGGTACCCATGATGAAAAAAGCCTTCCAAAAATACTGAAGCATCGGCAGTGATTATGATATGAGCTGCAGAGCCTGAGAGCTGGCCTTCACCATTCTCCACGCTCCTTTGAAAGTTCAAAAAGAAGGCAATGAAACTGCAGTTCATAAAATACCATTTGCCTTTCTTGCCTGGGTAAAATTGATTCCTTTAGGATACAATCTCCGAGAACACAATGACCATAAAATAGATGGTACCATAGGGGCCAACAAGAATTATTAAGTGACTGACTATGGTCTGGGGGTGCAGAGCTTGTTAGGCACCTGGGGGAAGGAAACAGCAGAGGCATTGCTTAAAGAATGCAAACTAGCACCTCCCTCCCGGTTAGCTCCTACCTCCTCACCACTGCTCTGTGGTGACTGTATTTTATTATCCAATTTCTCATATGAGGAAACTGCATCCCAGAGACATCACATCCAAGGCCACACACCACACAAACAGTCAGACTTGGACTTGAGCCCTGAAGTCCTTAACTCTCACACAAACACTCTGAACCACTTGGTAGCTCTGCCAAGCAGTGCTTAGCACGCTGAGTTTGAAATCATTAACAGCTACATGATTTTTATTGATTCGGTGGACTATGGTGCATCCATACTGTAAGCTCCATAGTATCATTATCATGCAATAAATAGAGTCTAAGTGTAAAATCCCCTCTGTAATGATGGCAGTTGCCTTTCTAACACCAGCCATTGCTTATTTCTACTTCTCTAACTTGACTCTGGTCCAGATGAGCAAAACTAAAATCAAACTTGTATTATTGTTGATGAATTCTGAATTTATATTTTTTTCAACACAAGACAGCCCCCTTTCACTACACATGCAAAGTAAGTCATAAAATATCTGAAAGTTACTTTAGCAAAATAATCTGGCCTCAGAGCCAGATTTAATTTCATTAAATTACCTCATTTCCACAACCAAAGAATGTAGAGGACCAGAAGCTAGCCCAGAGCCATGGAAGTCTCTCAATTTGGAATCCATATCCCTAATGATAACACTTCATTGTCCTTTGTGAAATTATCTTAGCCTCCTTTAAGGCTGAGTGCTTTGGGTAGAGTTAATCCACGGCAGTTTCTAGAGTATGTTCATGTTTGAACTTGGAAATCTGCAGTACTCTGCATGGAGTTTGCCATGAGAGTTATTTAAAATTGGAAAGGTATAGTAAGCCCCACCATTAAGCCTCAGTTTCAGAATTCTTTACTTTATTCGCCTCTGAGATACTTATACTAGCAACATAGATGCCTGACACTTCAGATGTTCAATTTTGCTGCCATAACCGCAAAGCCAGTCTAAGCAAATCAATCTAGGAGAAAAAGACACAGAAAGCTGATGGATGGGGGAGCCAGGTGATACCGATAGAATGTTGCAAGCCCCCGGATCCAAGCATGTTTTTAATCAGATTGACCTTTGGACATTCACTTGTAAGTTGCATGATCCAATAATTTCCCCTGAGCATCCAATGTATTTTTTTTTCTTCAAACACATTGATTTATGCTTTAGCATAATCAAAAGATTATTGGCCCACTACATTTGATAGATGTGTAGCACGAGAAGCCTCTGACAGACAAATATTAGCAGTATTGTCCTTTGTTGTCCAGGAAATTTGAGGCTTTCATGGCTATCCTTAAAGTGGCACATGAGATTCTATTGTGAAGATAACATTGATCAACCGCTTCTTGCACAGCAAGCATTGTACTAAGATGATTGGTCCTCTTTATAGGATGAGATCTTACAATGCTAAACTCACAGAGATTTGCTGTGCTGAGCTGCATTACAGGTGGGACTGTGGAGGTTTAGGAACCCTGAAGTAACATGCTTATGATCAAACAATAACTCATTAACTCAAATGCCACTTGCTTCATACTTTGTTTGGGGCATACATTTTTAACTGTTAGTCTATTCAGCCAGGACTATTTGGGGACCATATGTATTTTACATGTAACTCAAGATTCCTGATTGTTTGTTAAAACCTGCAGGAGGAGGTTTTAAAAAAGCAGATGAGGTGCATTGCAGCATTCTAGAAAATTCCTAAGGTAACTACCAAGACAGTATACATTTTGAAAAGCTCCGCTATGTAATTCTGATTCAGCTCAAGAAGCAGTGCTAACTAAGACATTGTCCACAGAAGAGCTGCCTGTATGAAAACTGTGTTCATTAAAGGAGGAACCAGTGCCAGAATAGAGATTATTTGTGTCACTAGAATGTTGTTTAATTCAGCTGATTAACAAATAGGAAAATGACTTTCTCAATTAAAAACAAAAAAACAATAAAGGAAGCTGGGATTTACACTGTTCACAAAATGGAGATATAAAAAGAATTAAGTGACTTAGCAAACCAAACTTGTAACAGTGTGTCAGATTTCAGAGTGTCAAGAAATTCAAATGGTAAGGTAACTCCCTAAATAAATTTTGCTTCATTATAAAATATGAGACAACTGTCTCATAGAAAATGGTCCCCAGTGTTTGTGTGTTATGAAAACAATGATGTACTCCAGGCATCGTGGAAGAGGACACAATGGGGCTACATGAAGGTTCAACTGCTTTGCGAGCCTATTAACAGGTCAAATGTTGACCACACTTCACTACTGAACTTCATATTCATCAAATCAGAATGGTGGTTTCATGTTTGCATCCAATCCATCGTGACCACAGAGGGCCTCCCTAGTCACCCATCTCATAACCTATTTGATGCAGAGCTTTAGAGCATCAAATCAGAATGGCTGTTTCATGTTAGCATCCATCATGACCACAGAGAGCCTCCCAGTTCAGCCATCCCTGCCATAGAAATAATGTAGGTCTCCCACCCCTACAGAAATCCTCATAAGCTGCTGTGATGGATATAACTCTAGTTAATTACTTTTTAATCAAATGGGGTGGCTATGTCTAGCACTAACTGTCTTTTAGTGCACAAAGTAATGGCACTCTTAAGTAGCAAGAACCAGATGCCATTGATTTAAAGGCCGAGGGGGAAGCTGGAGTCAAATATACAACGTGTGATGAATATGGAGCCTGCTTTCATCTTATCTCTAAACATTCCTCTAGATACAGAACTGTGAAACCCATCTTGATGCTCCTGATCAGCTATGTCCAGGAATGATCTGTAACATATTTGATTGTCTTCATAGATTCTCTGTGGACTCCAAAAAATATATACTTATGGAAGATGATGGCTACAGCAAGGCTTAATATTTTGAAAACACTTAAGGGGTAATTTTAAGCTGAGAAGTTACTGGTCACAACAGATGATGAGTTATATGAGGGCACTGGAATGATAAAGCTACTTGGTTTGTTACCATGTCAGTGTCTGACGCCAGAGTGTTACAAGGACTGGGCCAATAGGCTAGGAAGGGGATGGAACTACTAATGAAAGAAAATTCAATGATGTCTTTAAACAAGGAAATGGTTTTAGCTTTGTAAAATGATTGATTTAATATTCATAATGAACTTTCACATAAATTCTCTGTCTTGATTCTTCTACCAACTCTAAAAGGGGGAAGCTAGCTCCATGTGCAAAGTTTGCCAAACAGAAGCCATAGGTGACTTCATAGAAATCAAAGTGAGCTGCTTCCTCCCACTGCTGATATTCCTCTCCCCTCCGGATTGGAGTAACTAAATTGGTTGATTGGATTATTGACTTCACTGGTCGCTCATGAAGATTTACTTACTTGCTATTCACCGAGCGGAAAAGTATTGGAGAGTGATTGCTTTCACTCAGCTTCTCTGTAGAAGCAGCCAAATTAATTTGAGGTGGGTTAAGAAGTTCTAAGCTGGGTATCTTGAATGGTTAGTTTGTCAGTTCTATTAGTGCAACCAACAAATCATTTATTCTGCCAGTTGTATTAATCACAAACTATGTAAACAATACCAAGAGGAAGAAACTGCATACTAAGCTTCTACTGAAGTTAAATATGCATCAGGATTTATAAATATGCAGATCACTTAACTCTTAAAATACCCCGTTATGTCATTTTCTCATTTCACTAACAGGACTAAGGGAGGTACAGAGAATTGCCTAGGCTCACACAACATGTTTATGACTGAGCAATTCCATTACTTTGTAAGAGGGACAGAGTAGTCAGCAGATTTTACACCGTGAATGCGGAAAATCACCCCTTCACTAACAACACACAGGTACCACTATCACTCACAAATTATTTAGCATGTGGTGATTTTGCAAGGAATCTGTAAAGTGGAAGCCAAGGCAATTCTCATATTTGTAATTTAAGTAGTACATACCTATTGATGACTATTATATTCTAAGAAATACTGCAGTTGGTAAAAAAAAAAATCCAGTAGCTGTAAGACAGTTAATAGTATTTCAAAAGAAAACACATTTAAAAAGTTCATCAACCATTTTTAGCTTCTTCATAAATTGCTTGTTTGTACCCAATGTCTAGTTGAGAACAAA